TGTGAGATCAATGAAACAGCACACTATCCCATAAATACATATAGTTATTATAGGTCCATTAAAATAAAAGATTAAAATTCGTTTAATTGAGTATTTTTAAAAGACCAAATTAAAGAAAAATACAACACAGAGGCCTCAGCAATGTGTGGATGTTCTAAATTACCTCAGTATGACCTGGTTTTTAAAGAAAGATTTTTGCTGTATATTTTGATATATTTATTACTTTTTTAAAGAATTATTTTTATCTAACTTTATTTATTTGTTTATTTTAATTTGACCATAAAGGGACAGAGCAAGAGTGAGAGCGAGAGAGAGAAAGAGGGAAGTGAGAAGGCAGGCCTCCAGGTCTGAGACATGAACCACAGTTGGCCATGTGGGAGTCCAGTGCTCTTAACCACCATGCAATGTGCTGGCCCCTTTATTTATTACTTTAAGTGATAACTCACACAGCATGCTTAAAATATTTTAATAATATCTTGAAGGAAATATTTGAATATTTTATATACTTGTTAATAAAAATATAGGAAATATTGACATGTGTATCTATCAGTCCGGACCTGTGTAGTAGGATGGACCAAGCGACATTCATACATGCGTACTTGCTTTCTGTCTATCTACCAACTCTACCACTCCCTTTTCCTACTCAGTCAAAGCTTTTTGAAAAAGTCACCTATGGAACCAGCAGATGGTGGGAGGTTAAGGCAGTTGGACCTGCCACATGGCCAACTGTGTGGCCGGAGTCCCAGACGTAGCAGCTTGAAAAACATACCAGGTTCATGCGTGTGCTTGTGTGTGTGTGTGCATGTCTCACAACCCCAGAGAATGGAGGAGAAGCGATTGCAGCATGACCGTTCTCTCTAGGATTAGCTTTATCACTTTCCCCATTTTTGTCTCTCATTTTCTTCTGTCTCTCTCTCTCTCCCCCTTTCTCCAGCATATGCACATGCCCTATTTCAATAAATAATAAATAAATAAGCAAGCCATGTGTATTCACCATCTCCTTTATTCTGACTTTTCATACCCTTCTCAAACCTATAGAAATAAAGCATGTCCCCTCACATATATGTTAAAATTGCTATCCCAAGTGCCCCCAATAACCTCTCTATGACTGAAACCAAAAAACACTCTTTTTTTTTTTTTAAGTTTGCTATAGGGTGCATTCCCTTGCCAGACAGAGAAAAAGAAAAAGAGAGAGAGAGATCACCGTCGAGGAGGGGAGGTCACACTGCAATCCCTTTTCCTCCATTCTCCTCTCAGGATTTTGGACACAAACATACACACACACACCAAGCATGATTTTCAAGTCACTGGTTGAGACTCGAACCATGGAATTGGCCATGTGGGATCCAGTCAAATTAACCTCCATGACACCTGCTGGCCCCTCTCCTACTTTGTTAGTCATTATTTCTTAGCTACTGTAGGGGATCCTCTTTCTTTACCTACTTTTAGGCATTGGTTTTACCTAGGGCTCTTCTTATTACTTTTTCTATGTGTCCTTTGGTGATGTCATCTACTTTCCCAATTAACTGAATGCTTCAGGTTCACAGACCTGTTTGTTAGATTTATACCCTTGGGTAATTTGCAGACATCACAAAATTACTGTATAAAAAATTGAGAGCCAGCCCTATAGCCTAGTGGGCAAAAGGAGTTGGATCCCACATACTCAACCACTGTTCAAATCCTGGCCCCGGCTTCCTAAAAATCATTCCGGGCACGTGTGTTTGCATGCCTCAAATCCCAATTAGATGGAGAAATGGAGGAGAGATTGCAGCATGACCACACTCCATTGGAGGGTGATTTTTTTCTCTCCCTCCCTCACATACTCAACCACTGTTCAAATCCTGGCCCCGGCTTCCTAAAAATCATTCCGGGCACGTGTGTTTCACTCCCAGTGAATGCACTTAGATGGAGAAATGGAGGAGAGATTGCAGCATGACCACACTCCATTGGAGGGTGATTTTTTTCTCTCCCTCCCTTCTTCTTTCTCTCTCTCAGTCTCTCTTCAATGAGCACATGTGCCCTCTGGCAGGAAAAAATAAATAAAAAATAAAAAACTCACCAATACCCTTAGATCTGGTTCACATCTTTACCTTAGTGACCTTTAATCACCAAAGCCATTAATATGAGAGTCCCACTAAACTCTTTCCAGACAAACCATATTCAATTGATAATCAAGAACTGCCCATTTTACTTTTTACTCAGCTCCTAAAATGCATCCTTTTCATGCCCTCTGTTACCCTCTAAATCAAGACCTTATCTCTTCCTGAGCTATTGCAAATAGTCTATTAACTGATTTATTTGCTTCAAGTTTTGCTCACATTACACTCTGACTGCATTTTCCCCATTTCTACCAAAGTAGATTTTTTCATATTCTTACATATACACATAATGCAAATCTGATTCACTCTCCTAATTAAAACCTATTAAGTCAATCCTCATATAACTAAATGTAGTACTTATTAAATTTGTATTCCAGCCCAATTACAATATATAGAAATCTAAGTTCTGTTCCAAAATATTAATCTGGAATACACCCTTTCCTGTTATATTCTTTTTTATTTGGTTTGAAATTAAACACCAACAAAAGAAAACTATCTGGCAACTAGTCTTTATTGCTTTTCAGACCAACTAATATCAATAGTTTGAGACTTATAAATTTAAAAACATTGAACCATAGATTAAAATCTACCCTCGATCACCCTCTTCCAATTTATTTTGCCCTTGCCATATCAACCTAAGAAGAGATTAATGTGAATAGGGAGAGTTCAATTTATAAATACCACTCTCTATTGAAATGGGAAAAATGCAGATTTTTAATTCCTCCAGTCAGCTAAAGAGATGTTCTCTCTCTTAGTCAGAAAGTATAGAGTGAGCAAAGAGGTGATCAGAAAGGAAGTTCCAGAGAGCTCCCCATTGCTTCTTCTCACCACTATATTCAGAAGTATCCAGAAAATTCTACCAGGTGCAGTGCAAGTTACAGCAGATTCCCACAACTATAATTCTATGGAAACCCAACAAAAAATAAAGAAAAAGATGATTTAAAGTCATGTTGGGGAAAATGATAATTGTCATTTCTTGTTTAATAATATCTGATTTAAAATGCACTTTGGAATGAATGGGACCAATTAAAATGAATACTCAAAATGTGTAATAACACAGATTTTCAAATCAATGTTAATTCCTCAACAAATTTTCCCAGAAATTACTTCAATTCTAATATAAGTAAAATGTTTTAGCATTTCTATGGCATAAGATGAAAAGTGGGGCCATATATTTTCTATGAATATTCGAGTAAACTTCCATCATAGGAAAACAGCTTTATATACAGTAAGAATATTTATGGAAAAATAATGGGAACATCAGTAAGACTAATTTTTCCAAGCTTGTACCTTTTCAATGTAATTAAAATAATTTTTACTCTAATTAAGTCAAAACTATTTTATTTCCTTAAAAATACTAATTAAATGTAAAAAATGATACTCAAATATACTAATTGAGATAAAAATCAATAATGCACCGAGTTAATCTCCTGAAATTTATTTATAAAAATTATGTATCCTAAAACATAAATAATTTAAAATTATTTGTTACTTATGTAATATACAAAATATAAGCAATTCAGTGGCTAACTGAAGGGAAAAGCAGGGAGAACAGTAAAAATTAAATAAGCAAATTCTGTGTTGTGAATGTGGATTCTGATGAAATAAAATGTAAAGAGCTGTAAAATTCTGCAGAGTAGCATTATACATTCAATCCTTGGAACAGAATTACATTCCTAGTTCAAGATAAATAAATAAAGGCCAGCAGGTTGCATAGTGATTAAGGGCACTGGACTCCCACATGGCTGACCACAGTTCGAGTCCCAGACCTGGCGGCTTGCTTTCTCACTTTCTCTTCCTCTCTCTCTCCCTCTCATGTATGTGCTCTCTCTCACTCTCTTTTTCACTCTGTCCCTCTCTGGTCTAATTAAAATAAATAAAGTTAAATAAAATAATTCTTAAAAAATTAATAAATACATTTTATTTAATTTTTATATGTGCTAATGTTAATAAAAAATTGCCATAGCAAAGTAATTATAAAACTTTAGTGCTCATCTCATAGTGTCTGATAGTTTTACTCTTTCATCATTTTATTTCGGTTTTACTTCAAACATATTCTCAGATATACAGAGAAATCTGTATATATCATTGTGAGACACATTTCTTCAAAGGCTTTCACTTCTAGCCTTGAAAGTAGGCATCCCCCCAGTGGTAACTACTTGGCTGTAATGGTTACGCTGACATTACTGCTGCTGAGATATTTTAAAGACTTTGCTCATTTTCTTTACCAGCAGTATAATTCTACTCAGGACTGTATCATGCTACTCGACAGAATTTTAAAGCCCTTTACATCCCATCTCATCAAAATCCACATTTGAAACTCAAAGTTTATTTGATGTCTTCTCTACTCCCTGTTTTCCCCTTCAGCTGGGCATTAACTAATCCCTAGTGTGTACAATGGAGGATGCACTAGATCAAAGTACAGGGACAGTGCCATTTGGATTGTCATTACCTTGAAATAAGTTAGTGTGAAGGTTGGGGAATGGACTAGGCTATGCCTTTCCCCTCTTGGCACCTTCCAGCCCCTATCCAGCACTTTCTGTACCTTGCCTTTCTACTTGCCTAATGCCTTATGCTCTAGTTCATCTAAATTCCAAATGCAAATGTACACAGAATAAAACAACAGAAAAAGAACTGTTGCCACTTCTAGACCTTTGAAAAATGTCTCTTTCCTCTAATTTTATCTTTTCAATAGGGTATGAGAAACATCACTTAACAAAGATACTTAATCCAGAGCTCCTGTTTCCAGATAATTTTCTCTAATTCAATAGTAGCCTTTTTATTACACATACACCAAAATGGCCAGAGCATTTACTCCCGCATGCAATGGAAATTAATAAATCTATAACTAGTGATCTGCGTCAGAGACGACATTTTCAGTCAATAAAATGCCATACTCACGGTGAAGGTTGGTGGGGCTGGTTTTCAGCATTTCTTGGTGTTTTGCAGGCAGCAGGCTTCGCCATGTCCCTGACAACACACCTGGGGCGCATGATAGACAGCACAACGCACTATTAATTATAAAAAGGGTAGAACACATCTGGAAATTAAACACGGTACTGAAAACACAATCTAAAGGAAGGTCTTAACCTTGGGGCCCTGCAAAAGCCCCTACAGCAGGAAATCTTTGACTCAGGCTTCCAGAAGTTCAATTATACCCAAATAAAATCTTGGCTAGCCTCTGTATTTGATTTTCCTTTTAGCATCAATAAAATGATTGTCAGCAGCTTTCCCCATAACAGAAAAGCTACTAAAAGGATTGGCCTCACTGTATGAAGACATCTGAAAGCTTAAAAATAGGAACAGCTGTCATGTTGATATGTTAAAAATTGAACAGGATTTTTCTGTGGCTTTGACTATTTTATAAAAAGATATGAACCTTTGTTTCACACCGTTAATCATGGTCTTACTGTCTATTCAAAAAGAGATCTAAGAGGCCATAAGACAACCCCCACGTTTAAAATTCCCTTCAAGCTAACAGAAGAGGAAGCGATGATGATGTTCATAGACAGTGTGTATGTATGTCTGTATGTCCACTATAAGAAGAGAAGATATATTCAAAATATGAAAACAAAAAAAAGTCTTTGTGCCTTAAGTCCTGCATCATAGGAAAGTGTAGACAATACTAGAGTTCCAAAGGGCAGGAGGAGGAATGTTCTTACTTTCATGTAAACAGGGCTTCTAGAACATTGGAGAAATTCATTGGCAGAAATCAAAAAACACCTCCATCTGAGGCTGTACATGGATGACTCAGACATTTGTTCTCCTCAAAAGTTTATTTTAAACACAACTTTGAAAAGGAAAGCCTAGATTATAAAATTGTAACCTTCACATCTTAGACTTTCCTAAGTTGAAATGTTCTTTAGGACCCAGGACCCTCAAACATGAATCTGGTTTTAAGAACTTTCAGGTGGGCTTCTTGGAGATTTGACATCACTGCTCATGTTTAAGGCCAGTTATGTTATTCCAGATGGGGATCACTGATGAGGCAGTCTTTGTTTCCCCAGAGCTAAAAGCTGCATGGCAAAATTCTCCACTTCTGAAAGAAATTATACAGGGAAACGTGGACACAACGCACAGAAACGTGCACACACACACACTGTTCATTCCAAACGAGGTCAAGTGAGACTTAGAAATCAATATGTAACATGACAAGAAAAGAAAACGGTGCCATTTCAAAGACTCAACACACCTTCCTCCTAGAATAAAAATAAAGTATGGGGTTTGTCAAGAACTGTTGCTAATCTCTTAATGGATTGGTCAAGAGATAAGAGTTCAAAAAAAAATTCACTGGACCCATCAAGCCTTTTATTCTTGTTCAAGTTTCATGAGAAAAGGCCAATCACACAGCAGAGTTAAGAGAACATTCAGGAAGGCATTTGTTAGGGAGAAAAAATATACTAGGATTTCTGAGCTCTGAAAATTTCATCTAACTTATACAAGGTACAACATCCAGTAAGTTAAATTTCAGAGCACAGGAAAATCTTCAGCAATTCTCATTCAACTAAAAATAGCATATGCTGCATGTTTAATCTACATGCACTGGTTTGTGGAAATATCTAAAGTAACACCAACTTGGAAATTTTTTGGAGCACTATGTCATGAAAAATCTTGCTTCTTCTCTTTTTCTCTCCCATCTCAAATGCTAGGTATTTATAAAAAGCTTTTAAATGAAAGAATCTACCACTTAGAGCTTCTCAAATATGCTTTCAAGGGACCATTTCCTAACCAATGTGGAGTAAGGCCAGTATTAAGGGTAAGCTCCTAAGCAAAACATTTTTCTTCCTGACTGAAAGGTCATGTCTACATAAGAAAATACACATCAAATCTCAATTACTCAGTGGTTTCAGTTTAAAATGACAATATTTGACATACTGTTTCTGTCTGTACATGCTATAGAATCTTCCTGATTAAAAAAACTTCATTTGAATTTTGAACTTTCAAGATTTAATTAAAGAATGAAAATAAGCACATTAATCTTCAAAAACAATGTATCTAGAATTAAATAGAAAGAAAATTAAAATGGAGAACTACATATTTTCTGTCCTAACACATATCCCGTCCACAGGATATATATTCAAGATTAGAATGATATAGCCAGCTACTGAATCTAGGTTTTGAGGAGGAGAGACTATTTGTTTTAGATTGCTAATTATTCAGCTGATTTGAGGGGACCCTAAGTTACAGTAACATGTGTTCCTACAGCTTCTAATTTTACTTCTTTTTAGCTAAAATTTCTCTGCATAGAAGGAAAATAAAAGAAAAACCCTATATGCAGAAAAAGACAAATCAAAAATACAATTCACTCTCAAGATTAATGTTAGCCTATACAGATTAGCATTTATTTAAAATTATAATTGAATTGTGTCACAGTTTGGAGACATAAAACCTCAACAGTTTCGATAGTTGTGGTATTTCATTATGCTGCAGCTCTTAAGAGTCTGTCTTTGTATATGATTCACTCCTTCAGCCAGACCTAAAACCACAAAGGCTGCCACAATCCTGACTTCCAGATATTACCATGGATTGAGGAACTAGAAGTTCAAGGGATTTGACCTCTTATTCTTTACAACGTCTTTAATTTCTCAGGGATGTATCAAACACAAACTCACAATCTTTAGCTGCAGCAACATTACCCATCACTCAAGCATCACTGAAGATTTATGCAAAGAAGACATTCTGCAGCCACCTCAGGGGAAGGCTCCTCCCGACTCCGCCCTCAGCACTGCTGGGTTTTATGAATGACTGCAATCAATGCGATGAATGGCTGCCAACTGCCCACTCAGCCACTTCTACTCTTCCATGCACGTACACATGGGAGAAATTCACATTGCCACAGCCTGCAGATGAGGCTGTGGCGCGGCTTTCATCTCTCCAAACAGGAACTAAATGTGCTTCCAGATACTCAGAGTATGTGAATTAAAAATTCTAAATGCCTTCAAGAAACTCAATTTACATAATTGCTTTCTCTCCTTTGACTTTCCTTTTTGGTGCCTGCAATCATTCCCCACTATTCTCTTCCCAACAAAAACACCACCACAATCTTATAGAACTTTATCTGAATTTGAACTTTAAGTTGTTTTATCTTTCAGGACCATTATCAGTAAACCAGCTATTGTGCACTAAGCAGCCAAATCGTAGATTAGAATCTGATTACATTTCTGTTTTCCATCTATGGATTTTGCAATTTTCCTATCATCAATAGTGGTGATTACACCTAAACAGTATTGGGGAAATAAAGGTGCTTTGCTTATTTGTCCTGAGAACTTAAGAGACAAGAATATAAGATTGAGAAATGGAACATTTTAAAAAGATTCAATTTATTGATTTGCTGATCACTAATAAAAACACACAGTAAAGGAAAAACAGACAAGAAAAGATTTCAGGACTTTGTAGCTTGATACCTCTCCTTCTAAACCTCCCATTCAGTGATTCTAGCTATTCTTCAAAGTGCTATTAATCAGGAACCAGCAGTTAGTATAATGGCTATGTCGCGGGACTCCCATGTAGTCTACCACGGTTCATATCCTGGACCCGGTGGCTTATAATTCACTCCGGGCACATGTGCGTGTGTGCTCAAGATCCCAAGAGGAGAATGGAGGAGGAGGGACTGCGGCATGACCATCCCCCCTGGGGGGTGATTTCTCGCTTTCTATTTCTCCATCTCTCTCTGTCTGTCTGGCGAGCCCTATAGCAAAAACCTCTCCAAAAAAAAAAAAAAAAAAAAGCTATTAATCACAAAATAGA